TATCTGTGGTTAATAAATAAGTAAAATAAGTCACAAATACTTATTTTACAAATTCCATGTACATACGATAATCATATTCATGTTAAATATATGCATATTTATATAAATATATATCACAGAATATAATACAATCATGACACTTATCTTAAAATATTTGCGAAAGTTTGAGAAATGTACATATAACACATTTACATCTAGAAGACAAATCTAAGTTTCTATATATTTTATAAAAATAAAATTGATATAAAAAAATCTGCAAGATTTTAATCCTTAAGGGGGCTTCCACTTTTGACGGCTTGCAAAAATTGATTTTTTTTTGCTGATTTTTATTCCTACATGTAGAATATCCTCTTGTAAAAGGATTTTTTGAAATTCGCAATATTAATGGAACTATGAGTTCAAATATGAAAGGGCGCATGAATCCTCCAAACGCTTGCCGGCACAACAACGTTTGTAAATCCTGTTCAGGACACAATTCAAAGAAAACCAATAGATGTCGATTGTAGTCTAGTCTTTGAAGATCCTATTGAATTTTTTGGAGAAGGTTTATCATATGGCCCCATATGATGTGGCAGAATAATCGTAAGTGCATTGAAATTATTATTATAGTAAATATGAATAAAGCGAAAATAAAACTTTAAACGTTTTTCTCGAAATCATATTTTTCGACTTGATGTAAGTGATAACTAAAAAACTATAATTAAGATTAATTAGATCTTTCTTTTTCCTTTTGATCCTAACTTTTGCGCATGGCATGAATTAGAATTAAGTTTTTACAACAAAAAGTCAATTCTTTATAAACAAAAAAGTAACACATTTTTTTTACAAAAATCAAATCTTTTTTTTAATGCCGCCATTTTTATAAATTTCATGCAATTTATTCTACTTCATGCGACACACTATATAATTAATAAAAATCAAAGAAATTTTGATTTCAGATCATACAAGCTGAATCACTTTCACCATAAATATGTTTTTCCGAAAATCCCTACTTCGATCCCCATTTTAAGATATTAAACTGCATCTTTTTAAATAAAAAATTTTTTTTGCTCTCTAAATATTAAATAATTTCATACAAAAACACATTTCTCTATATTATTATGCAACAGATTTTTTTTAATTCATAAAAAAACTAATTTTACGGCCGTCAAAAGTGAAAGCCCCTTTAACGATTAATTGGATGTCATTCATGTCCTGCATGTTTCTTTCTATGAAAAATTAAGAATATCAAGTAATATTAGTTATAATATTTATATACAATTTGTTTAAATATACAACTCTATAAATAATTTTTAAGTATAGTAAATATAAGAATCACTTAATCCTCAACTACACTGGTGAGATACAAACGTACTCCATCGCACACAATTTCGCAATTATTTCTCGCGTGGCACAAGCGAGCACGTTCCAATACAGCACAGAAACATTGCAGAAACATTGCAGAATGATTTCACTGAAATATTGCAACATTGCAATATGGTGGTTACGAAACGTTGCTGAATCATTACTGCAACATTCCAACAATGTTAAGATGTTCGCTTTTTGTAATTTTGCAACGAAATGTTTCAGCAATGTAATGTATTTGGATAAATTTTTTTACGAAGATTCTAAAATGAAAACTATTTTCTGTACATATATATCACTAACTTTAATTTTTCTACAAATTGCATTTCTAATGATATATACTTTCCAAAATATATACTTTCCAATTTTTTATGATGAAACAAATATTTCAATAAATGTAGTATTAATTCTGAAGGATAAATATTCGCAAGGATAAAGTGTGTACCCCGAGCAAACCACAAATATTATCCACATTAACATAATCATATAGCTGCTTGATAAGTTAATCATAGATTAAATTAATCATAGTGATTTTTTCAATACTGAAGCCATTCCGAGTCAATTGAAATCGATTAAAAAAATAATGATATGAAATTTAATAAAATTCGAGCGCTGATTTATTCCTGCGTGCACATTAGGTATAAATACATCATCGATCACATAATTAATATTTCGATAAATCGTTTTCAGCTTAATTACTTATCGTCTTATCCGATAGTGTTGCATTGATTATATTCAAATTCGATATTATATAATCTTTTGATTTCATATTTAAAATAAATAAAATTTAACTAATGAAATAGCTATCAAATAATAGATTAATAAATTTTTTATTTGAAATATAAAAATGGATTATATTAATTATTACTATACCATAAAAACGATTGTTAAACTAAGACTGTACTACATAAATATTATAAAAAATTATATTTTTATATTATTACTATTATAGTAACAATTAAAGAATTTTGTAATGTTTCTGGAATATTACAAGTATATTACTGACATCTTGCAGGCATATTATTAATTTACATTTTTGTAATATCTCTGCAATATTACATTGCAATATGCAATATTGCAACATTGCAGCAATATTATCAATTTTCTATACTGTATAGATTCACGCCTCCGTATATTCTTAGTGTTGATTTGTATCTCACACTAGGAGGATAAATGCAATAGGCACGTACTAATAAACAAAAATATTGTTTGTTTGGAGTACGTTTGTATTCCGCGAGTGATGTTATGCAAGTATTTTTTTATTTTATTTTTCTTTTCAAACAGTTTTATGCATCATGAATCGCAATATATTCAAAGAACAGGTTATTCAAAATATTACTTCAGAATTATATGTCATTGTGCATGTGATGAATAGACATAGACTGTAATTTATAATAAAAAATGTAACGCGTGATAGTATATTCTTACTAAAGACAAAACAGATTATTTTTAACCTTTCAAAATTGATGATGATTTTTTTTCTTTACAGATTTTGTCAATAATTCATATTTCAATCATTCATAAATCATTTTTGCTAGTAAAGTTCATTAGTAGACTGATTGAAATAAAATTGAATTATAATTTAACTGTTATAGTCCAAAAAAGATATCCTTAAGTTAATCTTGTTAAAAATTAGAAGAAAATTTATTTTTGTTATTTAGAGTACTACAAACTCTATTTTCTATTATATTTGTAATAAATGATTATTTTTCAGTTTCAGAATATTTATTTATTATATCAGACCAAACAAGCAACTTTTTAAATTGCATTTCAGTTAAAACTCTTATTAAAATTTGGAGTACAGAATTACTCCACGGAGTAATGTAGTTGTGTTGGGCAGATTTTACCGATGAAGTTGAGGATTAATTATATTTATGTATTTGTTAAAATGAATGACCAATATCGTGTGTAGTAGATTCGGAAAATCATCGTGTGTATAATATAAGAGTAATATTCTGTTAATATTTCTTAAAAAAAATCATTCTCAAGAAAAATAACAAAAAGGAAGAGATACCTCGTCGAGTTGCAGGCATTTGCCCCATTCAACCAGCGTGATTTTGTGATCATTATTGATGTCACAGGAATCGAGGAAGGGCGCGATGCAATGTTCGAGGGCCATCAAAGGCGCCTTAATCGGAAAGAGCTCGTGCCTAGATACAGTTCGGTCATGTGGGTGGCCGTCCAGGTCGCACCACTTCCAAATAGCTGCGTTCGTCCAGCGTAAAGTGTGATTGGTCTCAGCTTCGCGCTGCATCTTCAGATAATGCGATGACAATTCTTGACGATCTGCCAAATCGCGCATGATGTTGAATAGCCAATCGCGCATTCGTCTGGGAAAGTCGGCCATGTCTTCTTCCTTGCACATCTGCGCGCATTAAAGAATTTTGTATATACATAAATGTATCGCGTAATCGAAAAACACACATGCTTTTGATATTTTATCGTTGATAATTTTTCTATTTTTAACTCTTTAGAGCTGATGCCCAAATCTAACACATTTACTAACATTCAATCTGTATACAAAACTTCTTGGGGAATAATACGTTCAAAATGCAAACCTAAGAGTCCTTAAAGCAAGGTTGTGTGGATCGAGACTAAGGCGTCTTAAAGATGTTATTAAGACATCTTTTAGACATCATATTATAAGACATTTTAAATTGTTCTTTGAGCTATTTAATTTATGTCAATTAAAAGGCATTAATCCATTTCAAGAAATCAAAAAATAAATACTACACTGAAAGAAAAGATTGACTGAATATGGCATAGCATTTTTAATTCGATGCAGTAGCCAATTAAATGCTACGCCATATTTTATTATCTAATTTGCTGCAGCAGCCAATCCTGTCTTTCAGTGTGAGGATATTTTAATAATAAGAATAATACAAAATTGTAGATGTAACATAAAAAAACTAAATTTGTTAACATATTTTATAAAGAAATTTATAATTGAATAAGTTCAATAGATCTAAGTTAGCTCCGAAAGTTTAAAGTTATTTTCGGAAATCACTGAGATAGATACGCGAATTAACAAACGGAAAAATATTGTGTGAGTTCAGTTTATCGTGTAAAAATAATGTATGGTTTTTATTATATAAGGAGCGTTCTGTCACATCTGCGACAGAATACTTACAGGCATCTGTCGGCACTCGCCATAGTATACGATGTGGACATGTTGATAGTCGGGACCTCTGCACCTGGCGTCACCGGTGTCGCAGAAGCAACGCGCCTGGTAGACCTCACAGTCACTGCCCAAGGTCTCATTGTAGTTGGTGCAGACCTTGCGACGCGGATCGACCTCCTGGTTGCAGAGCTCCACGCAAACGCACTCAGCCGTGCCCTCCTCCGTATTCTAAAATCGAAGAAATTTCACTTTCCTTTTTATTCCTGTCTGTCTTAAAGAGAGGACAAAATTCTTATTTCACATTTCAAACCCAATCTCTATATATTTCTTTTACTTTCACGTTTGGTACTTATGTCCATTTTAATGTAGATTAATTTTAATCTCGATTCAATTTAAACTATATATTTTTCATATTTTTCATATTTTTCTAATTCTTAAAACCAGAAAAAGATGAAAAGTAAGTTGAATCGTAATTAAAGTTAATTTACATTTGTAGAAACGCCTCAGTTGCACTGAGCATATATTATTACTTTATTAGAAGTTGACAAATCACAAAAATATAAATATTAATAAACAAATAAACGTTGAAATTTATGGATCGAATCTTGACAAAGACAAGACTAAAAATTCAATTCTACAAAAAAATTATTTCTTTGAAATGAAGATTTTTTTCAGTATAAGTGAATGTCAGAAAGCAATCTTAAGTTTCTTATTTATTAATACATATATAGTATGTACAAATTCACATTGAATTATTTAAGCATTTAAAGATTGTTATGAGCCTTTAATTCTCATTTCTTA